TTGTTGCTGCTGCCACTTCATTTCGGCGTGTACACGTGTATAAGCGTTCATGTCAGAGTGCAAATACACGTAAATAAATAAATTTTAAGAAAATGCATTTCTAGACAACTTCCAAAGTTATGGTTTGGATGAAATTGACCACTTGGGCACACCATACGACTATAAATCTGTGATGCACTACGATAGTACAGCATTTTCGAAGAACGGACAGCCCACGATAGAACCAAAGGCGTCCGGAACGAAGTTGGGACAGCGAGAGGGCTTCTCGCAAAATGACATCAAAAAGATTAATATTTTGTACGAATGTGATGGAAATACTGGAGGAGGAGGAGGTCAGTGGCCAACTCAACATTTTCCTCACTTCTTCTCAAATTCTCGGATTCACTTCTGAATCGATTTCATTCAAAAAAGCAAATCGATCATTTTTAATTCATTCGATACATGCTTTGAATGACGACTGCATAAAAATCTGTCTCCTGTTCAATCTGCAGTTGCAAAAAAAACAAGAAGAGATAAAAAGCAAGTGAACTTGCAGGTGACGGATCAGCACCTGGACCCGCACCTGGACCAGCACCTCAAGACTGTGAGGACGAAGTGATCAATTGCGGTGAGTTTAAGGAATACTGCGATGATGAGTACAGTGAGGACCTCAGGGAATGGTGCAAGAAGACATGTAATATATGTTGAGGAGGTTGATACGTTGTAAAACGCTTTCGACCCAACTGTCTTCAATTGTAACTTTGTCTTCTTTTCTTGTATTTCTGCGTTAGATAAGGAAGATGAGTTGTTTCAAGAAATATTACTTTGTTCACTCATCGTCCAATTTCAATAATAGCAGTATCTTGTTTAGATTATTTCTATCATTTGAAGTCTTCTTGAGAACCTGTGTATGACAGCATACAAGCTGGGTCCCTTGGGCGTCGAGGACAGTTAAGCATCCACGAGATTTTCGCAGCTTTCTACCCTTCCCCTCTCCGCTTAAGTCTTTCGAACTGGATTTCGCCCTCGAGGATTCTTTAACATAAAGAAACGGCGAAAATATGCCTGGTGCAGCTGGGAATGAGCAAAATGAATAGGAGTTAGCGCCGGCTAACTTCCTGCCCTGTTCCACACCCAAAGTCCTTGACCTTGATTT